ACCCAATATTTTTACTGTTGCCTTTGTTACATTTGTGTTGTATTTGTGCTGATATATATATATATATATATATATACACACACACACACACACACACGATGGAACCTGTGTCTGTGTGTGCGCGCGGGGCCATGCATTTGTTTTTCGCCCTCCCCAGGCTCCAGAAGCTTTCCTCAAGGCTCTAGGAGGGCGAAAATGGCCTCCTCAGGGCTCCGGAGGCCCCCCCAGAAGCCAGAAAGAGGTCTGTTTTCCGGACTTCCAGGAGGCTCATTTTTTGCCCTCCCCAGGCTCCGGAGCCCTTCCTTGAGCCTCTGGGACGGCAAAAACAGCCTCCTTTGAGCTCCAGAGTCCCTTCCTGAAACCTCTTGGGACCCAAAACGGAGCACAGTGAGGCGCAGTGCACCCCCATGCTCCCCCGCCCACATGTCTCCTGCGCATCCACGCACGTTTCTCACCTGTGTGGACCGCGCATTTTTGCGCAAGGCTTCCTTGCCACTCCCTGCTCTGGCTGCTTCCCCTTGGCTAACAACCCTGTGAGGGGAGAAGTTGCTCTGCCACAAACGGGCAGAGATTGGGGTGGGGTGGGGGTGCTCAAGTGTGATCCTGTGTCAAAAAACCTTCCCTTATCATTCTCTTGTATAAAGATTGGGCCCTTTTTACTATGGAAGGTGTGAGTCAGTTGCTAAATTCCTCCCTATTAAAGAGGATCCTGGGCACTGCAGACAATAGACAAATGAGGAAGGGAGTTGCTGGCACAGAGGAAAGACAAGTGGCAAGGAAAGAAGAAAAAGCAGCTTTTTTCCCTCAAGGTGGCTTCTCTGTTGCCCTTTTCTCCATTTCAGCACCACTCCACGGAGCCTGCCCCACCCACCATCGCCCAGATCCTCGCTTCCCCCAAGCATTTCTTTGCCTATTTAATTTCCACTCCGTAGCATTTTTCCATCGTGTTTCTTGCCGTTTTGGACAGGAAAACAAAGTTTGTGGGACTAAAAAAAACCCCTTCAATCAATCAATTCCAACTTTGCGAGATCTCTCTCCCCCACACAAAAAAAGTTGTAATTGATTGAAGTTTTTTTTAGTCCCACAAACTTTGTTTCTCTGCACACGTTGGCAATATGGAGCTGGAAATCAGGTAGGCAAAAAAATGCTTGGGAGAAGCGAGGACCTGGGCGAGGGTGGGTGGGGCAACCTCGATGGCGCGGCACTGAAATGGAGAAAAGGGCAACAGAGCAGCCACGTTGAGTGAAATAAGCCTCTTTTCTTCTTTCCTTGCCACTTGTCTTTCCCCCGTGTTGGCATCTCTCTCCTCATTTCCCTTTGGATTCCAGCGATCAGGCAGGATCCTTTTTAGTAGCACGGAGGAAGGGGGGAACAGAGCAGCCAGCATGAGTGAAAGAAGCCTCTTTCCTTTCTGCTTGTCTTTCCCCCATTCCGGCAGCTCTCTCCTCATTTCTGGTCTGTGTTGGGCTATTTTTCGCCCTTTGGAGGCTTCAGGGAATCCTCCGGAGATCAAAAAACTGTCGAAAATCAGCTGGCCAGCGGGCGCATGCGCACTGGAGCTGACAGGGCAATGCCTTGCGTGCCCTCAGAAATGGCTCCGCGTGCCACCCGGTAGGAAAAGTACAAAAATGATCACATTTCTGTTTACATTTTAAGAAAATCTTATTAAAACAGTGCCCTTTAATAAATTAAGCTATTTATACACCAAACTAATATTAATGTAAATAAGATGAATCTAGATTTTAAACAGATTTTAAGTATTTAAGGTTTTAATAAATATCCAAATAGGTAAAAGCAATTTTCTTGCACATTCAATATCACAGTAATTCTGTCAGTCATAGTGTCTGTGGTGCTGTATAAATAGATATAATTAAATATAATGACAACGCAAGAATTAAGTGAAGAGAAGCTTAATTTCTACCTTTCTTGGTGTATTTATCCAGGCCAGATGACAGAAGTGAGAGTCCACTGATACAGCAACAACTTCACAATTCACATCATGGAATTCATTTGCTTTATCACTAAAAGCTATAATTTCTGTTGGACATACAAAAGTGCTAGTGGGGAAAAATACAGACAGAAAATGAAAAAGAATGGAACAGGCCTCTAAAAATCTTTAAACCTCTATGTTGTACAAAGTATGAGCAAAATAAATATTTATCCATTTGAGGTACCCCGCTTATCCAAATAATTCCTTGGGAAAGGACAAAGTTCAGAAGGATAATGGCATGTAATGTAGAAAAGATGCCAAAAATGTTGCTTCAAAATTGAATCCCCAATTTCTATCAAATGTTTATAGCATTTATTTGATTGCTTTTTATCATTCCCTTATCATAATTGCCAAAAGAGCCAAAAATATGCTGCAGTCTGTATTCCATATAAAGCTGCTGAAATCCACAAATGTTCCATCCTGTTTCATTGTAATTCTTTTTTAGTGATAGGTTACAGCATCATAACAAACATAAGATATATAGAACGTAACATAAGGAGCGTAAGGGTTTTGGGATCATACAATTTCCAAATTATAATTTGTACAGTTTAACAATCATACCACATCAAATG